GCTGTCTCTTAGTGACTGTCACCTCGTGGCTATCGCTTCGTGACTGTCACCTCGTGGCTATCGCTTCGTGACTGTCACTTCTTGACACTTTCTGTGCCACCCGTCTTTAAGACAGCTTGTGGGAGACACTGAGCCAGCTGAGTGCCGCTGGTCAGGCTCCAGAAACTTCTATGTACAGCACCCACCTGTGCCACTTAAATTACCGAAATCTTGTGCGTGCGTGCGCGCTTGTGTGCTTGTGTGCGTGTATGTGAGCGTGTGTGCGTTGTCGCCTCTGTGCCAGTGAATGTTGGCCCCATCCAGCATTTTGTAAAATCAATCCCATTTATCTTCCCTTCTTTCCTCTTTCTCTCCCCATCCAGAGAGGAGATCCATGGGAAAATGGCTTATGGTAAAATTAACGGGCAGCCCAAAGACCAGTCACGCCTGGGGCCCACTGCCATTGGCCAAGGTGTTCCCCTTAGTCCCGGCCGGCATGCTAATGTCAAAAAGGTGTCTGGCGTTGGCGGGACCACCTACGAGATCTCCGTGTGAAAGCGGGACTCCAAGCCAACCAAAGCTGCCACTGTCACAGCAGCTAACGCCACCGTGCTACAGAGAAAGGGCTCTTTTACTTTCTCTTGCTTATGTAAGACTGTCGACCAAGTGGCCACGAGCGGCCTTATCTTCCAGAACATTCTGTTAGCCCAGGCAACTTCGACTCTCTCTCCCTGACACTGGCTTGCGAGTTGTCTGACCATCTCGCCCCGTGTCCGGCCGTCTTTCCTCTGCTCTCGCTCCACTTGTCCTCCTGGTTCATGTCTCATTGCCCGATGGCCGTCTCGGATGCGTGTGACGGGGCAGCTAGTTGGACGTGATCGCTCTTGATGCTCTGACTCGCCTAGTCACTTTGCCATGTCTTTGATGTCTGGTACTCGCTTCCTTCAGTCTTCATACAGTAACGTCAGCACATCACATACAGTAAGAGGGTGACGTCAGACCTCTGAGTCCTGAGATCCATCTGGAAAAAGCACAGGAAGGCCAATATCCATTCATGATCCCTCATTTCTGTGGTAACATAAGTCATCTGCCTTTTTGGGACATCCAACAGAACCCAAGACAAATGCACACAGAAATCTGTTATCGTCATGGATCTCGCTGCTCTGGACCATGAAAGTGCTCGAAGGTGTCTGCATCTATGCCTGAATGTCTGTGTGGTTTTTATTTACCGTTTTTATTCTTGGGAGATTAAGTTGATTAGCTTGCGGGTACCAGCTTGGAAACAGGTGTAGTTTGTGGTTAAAGTCTAAATGAACAGTCCAGCAAACAGCTGTTTGTGGTGAGTATTATTGTTTAAAGGGGCATATACACAGTCCAGGAGCAGAATGCTTTTAAAGTCGTGTCATTTGGCTGTTTTCAAGCTGTTCCCCTGGATCATCCGGCCCTTCGATAAGGATGTCTACAGTCAGTGTTCCTCTTATGTTTTTGTTCCTCTTTTGCCGCCCCCCCCCTTGCACATGCATACATTTGCTGTCACCCATGTTGCCATGTCTGCCGTGTCTCTTGGTGCTTGAGCACAGGACTCGAACCCTCTGCCAGTGTCCAGTCAGCTGTCAAGGTCCCGAAGCTCATTCCTCTAGGAGCATCACCGCCCTGCTCGATTCTCAGCCAGACTCCGCAGGGAATTCATTAGCGATGTGGTTTTGCAGGAAGTCTCTGTAAAAGATGGGTGCCATGCAGGCCATTTACCGGAGTCGCTCATTAAGAAACGGACTTTGTGATTAAGAAACAAAACACACCGTCCACAGCCATGTGAATAACAGAAATACAGAGGTCATTTTTTCCATTTTATTTTGTTCTTTTTGAAATTTTTATACCCACTGTTTCAATAGTTTGATACATTATGATTTTTATACAGAAAATTCTGTCAGGGAGTTTCTCTTTGTCTCTTGGTAATTTGTAATTTAAATATATTAAATTATTATTATTATTATTATTATTATTATTATTATTATTATTATTATTCTCCATGGTAAGGGATGGGGATTGGGGAAATACTTTTATTTATTGTTTTCTCATTCCAGTATTTTGCGGTGTGGAATAAAATGCTGAGGAACATGATTATAAGACCTATTTTTTTTCCCAAATCTGCCCCTGGGACCCACTGGCCAGCACAGCTAATTTAACTAACTACTTGCTCATCAAGCTAATTAATCAGGACCTTCTCTAATTGAATGAGTTGTGCTGGTTACAGGACCGGATATGGTTATATAAGCCAGCTAACCCAAGGCATGTGGAGCAGTGAAACAGTGTGTTATGGGTAAAAGACACGCCCGTGCTCACCGCAGCTGTCTGGTACAGCACGTACCATATACTGCAACGTGGAAACTACATTGATCCTTAATGTCTTTTATTTTTTATTATTTTTTTGTTGAAGGGTATATATAGTTTATTAAGGTACATTTGTTTTTTTCATTTTAAATCACTGATTAAATGTAGATTTGAAATTTTCCACCTGTTTGGTTTTGTTTCTCCTGTCAGTGTGTGTTTGGTGATGGTGAAATGTCGAGTTAAACACTTCCACCAAATTGGCACTAATGATATAAACTTGAGACTGGAAATCCATGAGGGGGACATTTTTGCTGTTATTTACTGTATTTCTGATTAATTGGAGGCAGTGCTCATCTCCCATGGCGTCGCCACCAGCCGCAATCTGCCCGAGGTACCAGCTGTTACAGACATGGGCTTTTGGCTGCACGCTGTGTGCCGTGATGCAGGCGGACAGCAGAGTCCTGTGCAAACACACACTCTCTCTCTCCCTCTCACACACACACACATGCACACTCTGTGGGTCCCTCTTTAGTAAAACTAAGATTTTATTTGAGATCAGTGTGTCTACATTTATATATTCTATATGTTAAATGCACTGTGTGCTCAATTTGATAGTGATTTTCTTAGAAATATGAAGCAAAAAATTAAAATGATTACTTGCCTTAGTAATTACGTATAAGGGAACCTTAGTTGACTAATCATTCCTGCTCATTAAACTGGTGTTGAGCAAATAATTGCCACACTGTATGAGTCTGAAAACTGACACTTACTAGCACACAAAGCATTTTTTTTTAACTTAAAGACAGTTTATTAGCTATTGTCAGCTTTTAAAAAAATGTTGAACTGGGAGACCTCAAAGGTTACTTTTGTTGGTTCCACAATTACAATGGCAAAGTCTTGCATGGTAACTAAGAAGCCACTTTCTGTAAATTTTCCTCAACTCCATGAAGCTCATCCATGTGCCTCATTTACCGGCAGAATACAGAGGACACCAGCTGATACTCCAGGCCTTTATTTTATTTGTTCTTATGACTTTGTTTTTAAAATCCATGAAGGGGAGATTAGACTTGGAATTTACGATTGATGTGAAGTTTATCAGTATCACAGTGAACACACCACTAGGGGGAGCAGTGGGTAAGTACACTTCTATATAAAAGCTTCCTGCTCTGTATGTGAGGATGTTGCATATTCCTGTTTGACCTCAGCCTGAATTCACTGACATTTAAATTTTTTAGTTTCAACTCCCAATTTTGCATCTTCTGGCTGATGTTTCTTATTTAAATAAGTTGTCTGAGGGACATCGATATAGATTAACATTACGCTAGAGATCACATTCATGATCGAAAGGTTATTAATCCATTAACAGGCATGTCTAACACAATTTTTCTGCAGCTTTGATATCCATATTAAAGCTTTTAGGTTAAAAAAAAAGAGCTTAAATAGCTATTTATAGATATCAGGCAATATCAAGTTTACTTTTTGAAATGACTCCAGTAAGGATGTAGTGGAGGTTAGGGTTAATGAAAACCTGGAGAGATATTTAAAATCTGCTGGTGTTTAACATTAATTCTATTCTTAATGCAATGGTACTGAAATAACCTTAAAAATTCTCTAGCATATATGTTATACACACACAATATATATATATATCACTTCCCCATCTTTAACTGGGCTCATTTTAGACACTTTACTGATAGAGAGTCTGCCTCCACCCAGCCCCTTCCTCTTCTGTGAATAACAAACATCAGAGGTTTACTGTGACACCACAAACAAGGCAATAATCAGTAAGGAGGTCAAACTGCATCACTTCAAAGAAGGTACACAAGGGAAGCGGTAGGTGAGCCCAGTCTCTCAGCAAAGTAAAATAAAAGGTACGCAGTGAATGAATGCAGGGAAACGCATGCAATCAATCACAAGGTCAAGTCATAACAAGTCATCTTTATTTCTGCTTTGGTGGAATCTAAGTCTATCATAAAATAAAAACAAAGAACACAACCACTTGGTAGTAGAGTTCCACAGATGGCCACCATGGTCTCACACACTCCTGCTGTGCATTTCACATTCCCTCCGGCAACTCAAAACCGCTTCAGAACCGAGCAGGCAAACTGGGCCTCGCCACAGGCGAATGGCCTACAGGACTCTTACAAGACTATCAGAACTCAAGCCTGCACAGTAGCCCTTCCACCTGTCCGGAAAGGCCTCCACACATTTCCTCTCTCCATTTAAATCATTCAACAAAAAAGACAAACCGCAACTGAAAAGCAATGCCCAATGTGGGAGTCATCCACATCAAGCCTCATATCACAGTACAATGTCAAAGATGCCTTGGGTTACAGATCATCATCCACTATAAAGGGGAAGAGAGATTTTAAAAAAATAAAATAAAAAGTACATTTTCATGAATAAGGAATGGTTACTTTAAGTTTTGCCAAGATCATGACCTTAGGTGGCAAAGAAACAAAAACCCTTCAATAAACAAAATGCGAGTGTCCAGATACAGTTTATTTAGTCCATTGTAGAAAAAAGGGAAATGACAAGTTGAAGACCGTAGGACTGTGAGCGTCAGCTTCACTTCTCCTCTGCGGTGTCTGCCTCCTTCTTCTCCCCAGATCCCTGCTTCTCAGCAGGTTCGCTCTGGTCTTTCACGGACAGCTCCTCCAGCTTCTCGGTCACCTTGTCCGCAGCGTGGGTGCTGTCTATGAGGAGAGCAGCATTGATTGACCAGTGTGACCTCACACCTCAGGTCAGATACACGCCGGCACTGCAAGAACCTCTCTGCCTGAGCTCAAGTTCACTCAGCGAGATGGGCGTGCGCTGCCTCTTATGTCGTCATATAAGCAGCGCATGATAAAAGCCCAATGGTGTGACCTCTTCACACGAGGCCGCACGTTTTGAATGTTTACATGTTCCAGAACATACAGACACTTGCCTACAATGAAGCCAGCGTTCATGACGCTCTGTGTTGATCTAGCAGACACAAAAGCACCGGGCTGTAGGAGGCAGCGAGGGGCAGAGTGAGTCTGCATGGGCCGGACAGCCTTTCTGTAACATCTCCTTACCTGAACCTTCTAAAGTCTTCCTGACCTCCTCTTTGCATTCGTCAAACTTCGCTTTAAATTTCTGCGCATCTGAAACAGAGAGCATGTTGGTTCAGATGTGGGCGGGGTGGGGGGGGGATTTGCTGCCAGCACAGCGAGTGGCGGGGCACTGCGTCGGGGAGCACTCACTCTCGGCGTTCAGGAAGCGGATGGCCAGCAGCTCCGGTTTTGGGTGCTCGTCAGCGAAGTCCGCGTGCGTGTTCCACACCCACGCCCGGTCGCTGCCCGCGTTTGGCTTCAGATCCATCAAGGGAACGACTGGAGGAACGCAATTAATTCAACTCATCTTCATTATCATTGTATAAAATTTACAATGCCACAACAAGTGTTCAATGAAAGCTACATTTGTGTAAACTGTGCAGGACAGTGTGAGAGGGGGCAGACAATGTAATACAATGAAAAAATTCAGACTGAAGTACCCAGTGAGGGAGAGAAAAGTAAAGAATGTAAAGATAGACAGGGGATTTCCTGAAGAGGGCTTTCTATAGAAATCAACGCAAACAGATCATCTAAACAACATGGTGGATGTCCTAATTTTACACATACACACAGCAATCAGCCTGTAGCGACCTAGCGTGCCGGCTGGGGCCTCTCGCCCTGGACTCACTATTGTGGTTGGCGCAGATCTTCAGGGTGCGGTCCCTCCGCATCAGCAGCCGGATGGAACCCTTCTCCTTGTGCCGGAGCAGCTTGACGTCACCGGTGCCCCGCTCCTTCCACTCCGGCGGGTCGTTCTCTGAGGCGAAGCGGTACAGTTTGGCCCGCCTGAGAAAACACACAGGTCCATGCAACACGTGCTCAGCTGCTGGAATACAGCACAATGCATCAGCAAGATAAAATGGTGACAATGTACAGAGCTCAACCAATAATAGTAAGACTTCTATGCACTGTGAAACAATATTTTTTACAGGTATAATACCACAAAAGTATTTTACAATAAACACAGGTCCAAGTCCCCAGGACAACATAAGCAACATGGTTAGGTTTCGTAACAGTGGGCTGTAATACCACACTGCCATTGGCCCACTCACATTTTGAAGAGCTCCTCTTCATCTTCCTCTAATGTTTTGACATCCTGCTCTGGAAGTGACACAATAGGCTCGAAGTGGGGGTCATGGTTCGACTCATCTGTAGCAGTCTCATGCTCCTCTTGTGTCTCCTGTCAGAAAGCATACAACTTCAGTCACGTTACAGATAAATCTGTTATGTGCAAGGAAGCAGGTAGCATCATGTAAAAGGTCGATTTGTGACCCACTGCTGTGCCCTAGAATAGAATACATAAACTGGATGGCTTACGCAAAATATCTCAATTTAGGTAAGAAAATATCATTTTCAACAGAAGCATCAGTCAGGTAACTTCAAATTAGTTGAGACCTACAGAAATCCAATCCCTGGCCTGTTTTTAATTTAGCCCAATCACGAAGCCATGGGAGATGCTGAACTTCAATGGATCGTGATCGGGCTGCTGGTCTCTCGTACGAGAGCCGCCGTGCAGATGCACCCCACACCCCGCTGACGTATTGCTGAGCGCCGATCCGGTTCTGCCTCAGTCCGGTTTAGCATGACTGTCGTATCCCACAAACCAGTTTATTCATTCAAAGCATACTACTGCGTTTTAAGTCTCCGCAATTCTGTAACCACATCCAGCACCTCAAATAACGCTTAAAATCGCAGTGCTGGCTTTTATAAACGCGGCATTATGGTGCCTGAAGAGGAGTTTCTCGCTGTTTACAAATGGAGGGCGGGCTTGTACGATATGCAGCACCGGCCTAAGAGGACACTGGGCATGGGGACCCGCGCAAACTCTCTGCAATCTTCTGCTTTACATATTATATGTATTTATACATAAACACGATTAAAGTTGAGTTTTATTAACATACACAATTATTTCCGGTGAATTTCAAAAACTTGGCGCGGGTTTCGAACGAGCGGCTTGTAGAAACGTGAGCGATGCGGCCTAGTCACTTTAGCCTAGCCTAACATGCTAACAGCACTGTGTGTTAACCTCGGCACTTCAGCTTCGTCACTTTAGCCTAGCCTAGCACGACACCAGCACCGTGTGGGCACAACGGCACTGCAGCCTCGCCACTTTAGCCTAGCCTAGCATGATAGCAGCACCGCGAGGAAACCTCGGCGCTGTAGCATCGTCGCTTTAGCCTGACCGGCTAACAGCAACGCATGGAGACCTTCTCTGTGTGGCCTTGTGACAAAACCTAGCTGGCCGGCGGATGTGAGCTTGGTCTACCGGCTTAACCAGGCTTTAAGAGCCAGCTTCAATAAAAAAATAACTTTCAATATTATTCCCCATTACCACTGAGCAGCGTCACGTTCTTAGATCTACGTATGAAACTTTCCGATATCTGGGCAAAGCAGCAGCGCAGTTCCATTAAAACAATAATCGGGAAACAGGCGGGATCGGCGCTAATCCCACTTCGAGAGAGATAACCGTGCGCATCCGGCTCATGCCCGCCGCCAAACGAGGCGTTTTGGAGCGAAATTTACCCGGGTAAAAACACTTGTAATGAGCCGCAGAGCTACGCCCGTGGCGCCATACATCAGCGTGCTAAAGCTACCCACACAGGATGCTCCTAATGATGCTGGGGCGCAAAATCACAACTTTTAAAAAATCTTTCCACGTTTTAACTTCACGGACATTTAAATTATCGTTTGATCCAACGTGTTTGTACCCCAGTCTTCCCCTGACCAGAACACAACAGCAGCGGCGGCGCCAAACAGCCGGCCCATCGCCCGGGTTCCATCCATCTCCATCACTCCTACAGTAACCGGTGAGGTGAGGAAAGAACCCAAAATATGTCTGAAATCCCGCACGGGGCCCCGAAATGACAGCCTTCGGGCACCGCGGGGCTTCGGTGCTGGCTGGCGACGCAGTCTTACCTTGGTGTCTGCCATGCTAACGTTAGATGCTGTCGGATTGCGCTTGCTGTCTACCGGTGTGCCTCCCTCTCTTTCTCTCTCTCCTGTCCCGTCCCGTCCTCCCCTTCCTTAACCCTGCGAGCCCCCTGTTCTCCGCCGTCAGTCCGCCCGCCTCCCGCCTCCTGCCGCCCGGGGCGCCGTTCAAATGTCCTCATTCACGGAAAATCGCTTATTACGTATAGTTTTGCATTTATGTTTCCATAGTACAGCGGATGTTTTTTTGTCTCTTATGCATTAATACCTGGAGTGTGTTTTTATTGTTGCTGAAGCAAATTATGATTTAAATGTGCTTCTCTCAGATATTGGTTATTATTAATCAATATTAATATTGTGCTCTTGCATCTGGGAGTATTTTTAGAATGTGGTGATCAGTGATCATTGTTGACACACCACAGCACACTGTGCACAACAATGAAATGTGTCCTCTGCATTTAACCCATATGTGACATCGTGGTAAACTTGAAACTATTGAAAATTTTAATTTGGTTTTGGAAAGAGTCTTTTTCTTATCAATTATGAAGGAATTTCACAATATCTTTAGCCGGGGGTTGACAGGGTATCTGTTGTCATTATTCTTTAATGAAAATTTAGTCTGTCGGAGAGTTAGCGAATATATCGTTCTACTAGTTTTCTTGTGTTCAGACTATTTGCTTTGCAGTCTTTTCCCACAAAAAACCTTTAAAATATTCTGGGAATTATAAATAAAATGTAGTAAACCCTCCTGAATATTAGGTGTATATTTTGGCGAAAACTATATTGCAGAGAAAATAATTTATATATGAATTTCTTATATGTAAAAATATATTTTAGAAAACTCCTGTCTTTCAAGTATTGTCACAGGTCCGCAATAATGAAATGGTTACTTTTTACATTAACGTGTTAATGTCTCTCTGTATCCAAAATATAAATATACTTTTATTCAAAATGCTGCCATTGTTTTCCCGTCGTTCTTAGCGCCCTGTGTTCACGTGGTTTCCCCGTCGCTTGTACGCGATTTACAGCCCAGTCCCAGTACATCACGTCCCAGCTGTGTGACAAAATCATAGCTGCGATCTAGCAATCGGTTTCATTTGGCGAACGTCTGCGAATTCGGCAGCTTCTATGACGTTTGTCTTTTTAAAAATCGCGCTCTGATCTTTGTTTCACGATTAACAGTAGGGTTTTATTAGACCTTGTTTCTTGCACAGTCTGGAGCAGCCGCAGTTTTATTTCACTGCGGGTGATTATTCCATGCTGGTCTATGTTGTTCATTTTCAGCAGGGATATGGCTTATGCACTGAGAAAAAAAGTATTTAAAAAATAATTTTCTGGGGAGGTGGGGCAGTTCTCTGGGTTGGGAATCGGAATGTTGCTAGTTCAAATCCCATGGTCTGCAGAGTGATGTCACCATTGGGTCATTGAGCAAGACCCTTATCTCCAATTGCTCCAGGGACTGGCAGACCCTACTATCTCTTTTACGGCAGTTTCATGAGGTGGCCTCCTGAGATGCTTTTCCAGCTGTCCTGAAAGAGGTCCCCCATATTTGGAGGGCACTTATAGCCGCTTTGCCTTCACTCTCTGGTCAAACTCCTCCCAAACTATCTCTACTGTGTTTAGGTCAGTTGGCCGGGTCATGTGATGTGACAACATCACTCTCCTTTATAGACAGCATTACAATGTGTGTGTGTGTGTGTGTGTACATACATACTTACATACATATACACTCACCTAAAGGATTATTAGGAACACCTGTTCAATTTCTCATTAATGCAATTATCTAATCATCTTAAACTTCAGCTGGTACAAAATGCGGCAGCCAGAGTTCTCACAAACACTAAAAAATTTGATCACATCACACCAGTCTTATCCTCCCTTCATTGGTTACCAGTTAAGTCTCGGATTGACTATAAAATACTGCTGTTAACCTATAAAGCACTGAATGGCCTTGCACCAGACTACCTTAATAATCTGCTGGCCACATACAATCCCCCACGCTTGCTTTGATCTCAAGGTGCGGGATATCTGTTAGTACCTAGGGTAGAAAGATCTACGGCAGGCTGCAGAGCTTTCTCCTATAGAGCTCCTCAGCTGTGGAACGGTCTTCCATCGGATGTGCGGGTTTCAGGCTCAATTTCAATATTCAAGTCTAGACTAAAAACACACCTATTTAGTTTAGCTTATAGGGACACTAGTTCTAGCTCTAGCTAGCTTCTCACTCCCAGTTAAACCGATAGTGTGAGGTGTACAGCTGGGTGGGGATCGGTGCCATTGGCTTTGGATAAACTGAATTGATAGTGCTGTCACTCTAGCTTCACAATTGCTTGTGGAATTGGAGTGCTGACATTTCAGGGACTCCCCATGCCTGCATTCCCACCTGCCTCTCCCTCCTACTGTACTTATGCTGCCATAGCCATATCTGCCGGAGCATTGCACTTCATATTGCACTCATCTGACTTTTCCCTTACTTTGACTAATTGCATTTATAAAAGATCTACAAACACTGAAGCAGCAAACTTTGTGAAAACCAATACTTGTCATTGTCAAAGGTTTTGGCCACGACTGTACACGTACATTCTGACTCAGGAATTTATGCAAAAATTTCTTGCAAAGGTTGTCTTCATCATAATGTTATCATAAAGTATTAGTTTTAAAATCCACATTAGAAAAGTGCTTAGGTTTTTACAAAAACGTTATTGCTACAAAGGCATTTGAAATATCAATTACTTTTTTAAATGTACATAAGCCTAAGGAACTATGGGACGTGCAGTTTCTGAACTGTTCAAGTGGTGATTCCCATTTAGTCACATCAACTGCTAATAGAAAAAAAAACAAATACGCAGTTAAATTTTGATAAATAGTAATGTCAGACTGGAACTACAATGGAGACTTGAGACTTGGCTCAGACTCAAAGTCAGTGACCTGGGATTTGACTCGGACTCTAATTTTGTGACCCGTGAACATCTCTGGCACACAGTGAACCCTGTTATTCAACAATATTATTTGTTGAAAGCCTCCTTTGTCAGCACAGCCTGTCATGATGATGCTGCCACACAACAGTCAGGATGTGCTGTTCCTGATGCTCCTCCTTTGTGAGAGTCGAGCTGAATTTCATCACAAGAGAAATTGCACTTTCGCCACAGAATCAGTGGTGACCATCATCTAGTCACGGAACCGTTTGTAGATGGGGTCTTCTGCAAAAGTCTGTCAGCTTATTCAGCACCATCTGGAAGAAGCGCTCTGAAAATGCTTAAGGTCTCTGCTGTCACAAACTAACTCAGCGGCTTCAGAGGAGAAAATTCCTTGCCTTCAAGTCGTTCCAGAACTTTTCTCTTTGGAGGCTTCTTCAGGTCCTGAATCATAGCAATCTTTGCTGAGTTGATCCGTTTGTAGAAAAAAGGCCAAGCCAATCAACTCCTCTGAAACGTACCAGACATGCCACTTCCAAGCTGTAAGAGCTGTCTCAGCGAGGCGCTACGTATTCATAATATGCTAATACCTACGTCTCAGCGAGACATTGTGTATTCATAATATGCTAATGCCTATGAAACACTCCGTCCAGAGCGATCTCTAAATATTGTTAGATCCTTCTCAATTTTTTACATCTTGCCAAGGGAGTGACCTGCATAAAGGGCATCTTGTGTCTCAATCAATCGATGCAATCTGAAATTTCAGTATATGACATGGGACAGCCCTACAGTGTATAGTTTCCCAAATGCTATCCACTGTTAGCCCTGAATCTAGCTAACCGATTCAGCTGGTTAACTTGCATCTAGCTGCCCTCTGCCCCACATGACAGACCGCAGGAAGCTAAGATGATAATGATGAGGTTAGTTATCCTTCTGGATGACTGGACCAGCATATGCACAGGAGTGAACAAGGCGAGAAGAAAGTTTTTGTGAAAAGGCACTATGTGCAGTCAACTCCTTCAACAATGGCTGCCCGACAGGAGCATGTCAAGAGGGCGGTATAGGACAGCCACACGTGACGTCCCACTGTACCATCCACATCAAGGGCGAAGGCTGTCGTCCGCCATGTTGGTGCATAATATCCCACTGTAATACTGTCTGTGCTCTTTTGCTGTGTTCATATTGCCAGGTGTGCTGTCATCGGCTGCAGCAGCATTGGTTGTGACAAAGGTAAAGAATCAGTTAGGATTCTCAAAACTATAAAGTAACTGCAATTCAGAAAGGAAATATGAAGTTTTATCTAGTGAGCGCTGCAAACAATGGTTATACAATCTCAAAAATGGATTTCACTGGGAAGAGCCTCAAAAGTGCAAACGTTTGTGGAGATCACTTTGTCAATGGTAAGAATAACACTAAAATTACTAGTGTTTCTATGTATTTGTTTCCGTAAATAACAGTACTGATCTTCATTAGCTGATGAACATCAGCTTAGCTTTTGTTAGCATGTTAACGCTACTGTATCTCATGACCCCGTTTCTGTTTATGGTTGTGATGACTTAGATAATCTGCTGGAATTACATTATTTGGTTTTAAGAATACACTGTGGAAACGTACCCTAAAGGCCACTCTTTATATTTTCATGTTCGGCAAACCAACCAGTATGTTGGACAGAGGCAACGTTAACTGGGCAGCAGCAGTGAGCTTGGAAGGCAGCAGTGCGAAGAGTGAGACAGCATCCCATAAACGCAGAGAGAAATGACAACCCAGACAGTCCCTCCAGCTAAACAAAAGCCGCACAGCCAGGGATAAAATAAACTGATCAGCAATTTACATTTAAAATACATTCCCTTACATTCAATTAAACCAGATTTGTTATAATAAAAGTGATAACAGGCGTAACACTGTAAAGCTGGCATTACAGCACAGAGCAACATAATTGCTTAAGGTTACCATTACATAATAAGATAATGACAACCAATACAGGATATTAAATGGTGAATTATAGGCATGAGATTTATACTTGTTCTTACCCTTGAATATCAGAAGCAGATGTTCAGGTCCAAGGGTCTTCCGGATGATAGCAGAGCACAAAGTCTGCCCTACATCCATACTTCTGCTTTGCACATTCCAGCTCCTCCAAGCAGTATGCAGGTGGTTGTGGATCAAGGACAATAATAACTATATGCTAGACAGAGGATGCCTGTTTACATTAGGCAAAGACATCCTGTATGGT